AGCCCAGCAGGTCAAGGCTGCAGTGGCCAGGAGCGTACCACTGCACTCCAGTCTGGGCGACAGAGTGAGACTCCCAACTCAAAAAAAAAAAATTTGCTGGGCATTGTGGCACATGCCCGAAGTGCTAGCTACTAGAGAAACTGAGGTAGAAGGATCACCTGACCCAGCTGGTTGAGGCTGTGAGCATGCTACTGCACTCCAGCCTGGGCGACAGAATGAGACTCTGACTCGAAAAAAGAGCTGGAAGGGGTCTTGGAGGAGAAAGGCTGGAGAAGCTGAGCTTGGAGTCAACTATTCAGGGAGCCACAACTCAATCCTGTAATGACCGAAATGCCAGCTGGCCCTGCCCTGTGCCAATGTTTGCCTGCCTCGTAAACTCCTGATCCCTGGACTTCTTCCAGCTGTCAAGTTCGGCCGCATGTCCAAGAAGCAGAGGGACAGCCTGCATGCAGAAGTGCAGAAACAACTGCAGCAGCAGCAGCAGCAGAGGCAGGAACAGGCGGTCAAGACCACTCCAGGAGGGGGCCAAGGAGCAGACACCCTCACCTGCCCTGTGGGGCTCTCAGATGGGCAGCTGCCCCTGGGCTCCTCACCTGACCTGCCCGAGGCCTCTGCCTGTCCCCCTGGCCTCCTGAGAGCCCCATTCTCTGGGCCCTCATATTCCAACAACATGGCCAAGTCCAGACTCAATGGGGCCTCATACCACCATGAATACAGCCCTGAGCGGGGCAAGGCTGAGGGCAGAGAGAGCTTCTATGGCACAGGCAGCCAGCTGACGCCTGACAGGTGCAGACTTCATTTTGTGGAACCCAGGCACCTTGGGCTTGGAGAACCAAGACAGAGCCCGGACAGCTACTGCAGCCCCAGTTTCCACAACATACCAGAGGCACCTTATGCCTCCTTGACAGAGATAGGTGAGCAGCTGGGGAGGTGGGGCTGAGGGGATGGAGAGGGGAGGGCATCCGCCAATACCCCATATCAAACAAACAGGACCCCAAAGGGAATTGAGGGTTCCTGGAAGAGGGGTGGAGGGAGGAGGCAGAGCAGGGAAGGCCAGACAGAGACGCCCCCTTGTATGGCTAGGGTGGGAACCGGTTGAGACCAAGCCATACCTTCCTTCTTCTGCCCCAGAACACCTGGTGCAGAACGTGTGTAAGTCCTACCGAGAGACGTGCCAGCTGCGGCTGGAGGACCTGGTTCGGCAGCGCTCCAACATCTTCTCCCGGGAGGAAGTGAGCAGCTACCAGAGGAAGGTGAGGCCAAGAGACCTGCAGGAAGGGAGGACATCCCACCCACACCCCTGGGAGAGTCTAGAGATGGCTGCCTGCACACACCTCGGGGCTGGGGCAGGGTGGGACACCATGGGCATAGGCTGATCAACAAGCATGTGTGCCATTGTTAAGTATGGCTGTGAGCATGTGTGTCTGCATGAGAGATTTTCAGATGAGTGAGGCTTTTTCTTAGCCCCTGCCTTTTTTTTTTTTTTTTTTTTTGAGTTGGAGTTGGAGTCTCACTTCATCACCCAGGCTGGAGTGCAGTGGCATACTCACAGCCACCCCAGCATTGACCTGCAGGGCTCAGGCGACCCTTCCGCCTCAGTCTTCCAAGTAGCCGGAACTACAGGTGCATGCTACCATGCCTGGCTAATTTTTTGTTGTTGTTATTTTATTTTATTTTTTTTTGGTTGGAGACTCACTCTGTCACCCATACTGGAGTGCAGTGGCACGCTCCCAGCCACTGCAGCCTTGACCTTCTGGGCTCCGGCGATCCTTCCACCTCAGCCTTCCAAGTAGCTGGAATTACAGG